TCGATTGTTTACGGACCACCGGAATCTGGTGTACATGTTTAACCCCCTGGGGTCGAACTCGAACATGGCCAAGTACCAGGCCCACAAGCTCCAGCGCTGGGCGTTGACGATGACGACGTTCCCGTACGTCGTGGAGTGTGTGGCGGGAGAGGAGAACCTGTGGGCGGATCTCCTGAGCCGTTGGGGAAGTCCTCCTGAACCGGACCGGAGCTTTCCGGTGGAGTCCCGGAGTGCCTGGATGTCCAGACTGGCCCTGGTGTCCCCCTTACGGCACGAAGAATTTGTGTGGCCGACGGCGAATGCGATCACGGAATTGCAGCGCGGCCATCCGACATGTGAAAAATACGCCTCCTGGAGCGCTGAGAAGAAGTGTTTTCTGACGGTGGCGGGGAAGCTCTGGATCCCGGGAGATGCATTGGATATGCAAGTGCGTATATGTGTGGTGGCCCATGCCGGCGTGGCGGGACACCGGAGAGTGGAAGCGACAACGGCATCTGTTGCGGAGATGTTTGATTGGCCTACCCTGAAGACCGACGTGAAAAACTTCGTCACTGCCTGCCTGCATTGTATGGTGGTCGATCGATCGATGGTGAGTCGGTACCCCGTCCCTGGGGTGAAGCGCTGCATGCCACGAAGCCAAATGAGTTGATTCATTTCGATTGGCTGTCGCTCCCGGAGGCTCCAGGAGGCCTGAAATACGTCCTGGTCATCAAGGATGATATGAGTGGGTTCGTTCGGTTACATACCAGTACGTTACATACCAGTACGTTACATACCAGTACGACAGCGTCTGTAGCAGAGACGGCCGCGGCGTTGATGGAATGGTTTGGACTGTTCGAAGTGGTCAGGACCTGGGTATCCGACTCTGGATCCCATTTCAAGAACAACCTGGTCAGTACCCTGGGTCGTATGTTTGGTGTTCATCATCATTTTGTCACACCACACTGCCCCTGGGCCAACAGGACAGTTGAGGTGGTGAACAGGATCGTCGACCCTGAAGACCCTGTGCAGCGAGATGCGCTTGCAACCTGGAGACTGGCCGGGGGTGTCACCCTTGGTACAGTCTGCCCTGAATCAGCAGCCGGCCGACCGTTTGGACGGCGTAGTGCCAACGACGGCGTTTACGGGCCTGCCTGCTACACCTCCCCTGACTCCACTAGTCCACCCGGACGAGCACCAGGAGGTAACGATCGACTGAATTAAGTCCCGGGCGATACGCCACGTGAAGGCGCTCGCAGATGCCCTGGGAATTATGCACAAGCACGTGGCAGAGACGGCGACAGCAAAGTGTGCTAAGGCCTGGTACCATCGTGATGGTCAACGTTTCGTGAAGCTGGCGAAATTTACGCTGGGCGATTTTGTTTTGGTGGCCCGGGCTCTCCAGCATCCGGGAAAGCTAACGTTGCGTTGGAAGGGACCCTTTCGAGTCGTGAAGGTGGTCTCCGACTACCTGATGGAAGTCCAGCAGCTGGTGCCTCCGGGAGCGACGTCCCTGCACCATACGTGCCGGCTCCGCCTGTACTGTGAAGGCGGACGTGAAGTCAATGAAGATTTGAAGGCCCAAATCTCGTTCGGCGATGAAGGTTTTTACGTGGAAGACCTCCAGGACCTGCGTCTGCGAGTGGGGTCTGGGAAGTTCTGATCAAGTGGCTTGGAATCGACGATCTGGATTCGTCCTGGGAACCGGCCCTATCGATCTACGAAGACGTTCCCGTGCTATTCCATCGCTGGGCCAAGGCCCGGAGCAACGAAGATGGCGTGAGCAAAATGATTGACGATCTCACGAATGCATGTGGCCACCCGATGTAGGGGGGGGAAGTGTTATCGACCGAGCCTCTGTTCGACTCCCCGTGCCTGAGTGTATGCCTTGAACCCCGGATTATTTCCGCAAGGATTTATCCGTCCCTCCCCTGGGGAATCCAGATAACATGGGAGACGATCGACGAAGCTCGACGAAGCTCGGTCGAAGCACGCGAGGTATGAATCGTTGAGCGAAGTAAAAACCGTAGATTACACACCGCCCCTGGTCGAGCAGGCGCGTTACAATTGGCCAAGCGGTAACACAACATGTGGTTCTAGTATCGGCCCTCGCGGAGGAATGTCTTAACTGTACACAAATGATTATCCAAACTCAATTAATCGACTATCGAAATGGACACAATCCCCCCAAGAAAACTACTGGGTCCAAGGGTGCATTATTGTCAGGTAGGGCATCACAATCGATTCTAACGCAAATGCACACCAACACACAAAAGCGCCTACTGCTGTACTGTATGTAGCAGTACTTCCGTACAATGGAAGGCGAGGGGCTAAAGTTCATACATGTACATACTGGGTACAGTGGAATGCTCGACTTGCATGTATTATATTGCCATTTTAAAGTTGCCTTGGAGTAAAGTCTACTTTGGTGACGTCAACGCGTTGTATTGGGGGTTGAAAACAACATACCGCAAGTTATACCATTGACACAGTACAATTTGACTTTAAGTCGAGCTCTTCGCTCCTAATCACCACACGACGGCTTGGTGGGAGTGACGTCTCCGCTGTTGAATACGGTCACTTCCTTGGCGAATTGGTTGATGCCTTTGTACACTTCGAGGCCGCGCGTTTGGATGGTCGACACGTTCGCGGTAAAACCTTTGCCGAAAATTTCAATCGTCAGGGCGGGCTTTTTGAACTCACGGAACGCGTAATCTGGGAACACCCCATACGCCAAATAAAATTTGTGCGCCGATTTTTGGATGTATGCCTCCCCCATAGCGCTTTGCAATCCACGGCCGAGGACGTCGAACTTCTCGTCAATCCCACCGCCGATGGGTTCTTTCGTGTCTGCGAACGCGTAAAGAACGAAGGCCCCGTACGCGTGAATGTCGAGAAACCCTTGGATTTCACTGCGTTTAGACTGGAGCCATTCATTGATGCCCTCAGTTTCAGGCTCACTGAACGTCTTAAGACCGGGGTAATCTCCGTGTTTTTTGGTACGGGTTTTGGGGTTCTTGAAGGGAGTCGGCCAGTTGCGGTTCAAGTCGACTTCGTTGGCATTTTTGCGCTGGAATCGGGTGCCGTTCCACGTGAGGGCGTAGCTGTCAATGTTGACGATAGGCACAAAGTACAAGTCGTACTCGTCGGCGGCCGTGGGTTTGTTGTTGGCAATGTCATCCAGAATCGACGCGAACGAGAACAGAATCGACGACCCCGCGATCCATTCGCGGGCGTGTTGCAGGGCTTGAAAGTACAGCGACTGCGAGTGGCCCTTGCTCAGCTTGTACCCGTAAATCGTGGCGTT